GCAGATATGGGAGTCCTACTGTATAATGTAAAAGCAAAGTGAGCTGCTTGTATACCAATCCATAGCATTCAAAGCACTATCTCGGTAGTCTGTGATTTAGTTACACAGACTACACAATTTGCTCCTCCAAGTGTGCCAGGGTCTCAATTTAGCAACCTTAAAAGGATGGATTGCTGAGTCAACCTTGAACCAGATACCTAAGCTGTCAGAATTTAACTCAGATCAGGAGCAGATGGCTTCTGTTGTGACTGAATCTGTTTCCATATTGCATGTATACAGTTGTGCCCTGCTTAACGATTGCCCCGCATTACAACGAATCCGGTTTACGATGTTTTTGTGATTGCAATTTTGTGATTGCAATTGTTTTTGTGATTGTAATTTTGCTTAGCGATGATCATTCCCTGCTTCGGGAATCGATTTTTGCTTTACAACGATCAAAAACAGCTGATCGTCAGGTTTTCAAAATGGCCACCGGGTGCTTAAAATGGCTCCACGTTGGGCTTAGGTACGGATTCCTCCCTATACAGGGACCGAAAATGGCAGCCATATGGAGGAGCTTCGCTGTACGGTGAGTTTTTAGCCCATTGGCATGCACTGAACGGTTTTCAATGTGTTTCAATTTGCTTTTTCATTTCGCTTTACGATGTTTTCACTTAACTGCGATTTTCCTGGAACCGATTATCGTCGTTAAGCGAGGCACCACTGTATATGGTTTTTCCCCTCTGTGAGTTCTTCATGTCTACTGACCCCTGAGGATGAACCTCTTTCCTCATTGAATTTATTTATATGGTTTCTCCCCTGTGTGAGTTCTTTGGTGTGAACTGAGGTTACTGAAGTCACAGAAGCTCTTTCCACATTCCACACATTCATATGGTTTCTCCCCTGTGTGAGTTCTTTGATGTGTACTGAGGTGACTGCTCTGCCTGAAACTCTTTCCACAATCCTTGCATTTATAGGGCTTCTCCCCTGTGTGAGTTCTTTCATGGGAACTGAGGTTACTGCTGTCACTGAAGCTCTTTCCACATTTCATGCATTCATATGGTTTATCTCCAGTGTGAGTTCTTTGATGTGTACTGAGGTGACTCCTGTGACTGAAGCTCTTTCCACAGTCCTTGCATATGTAAGGTTTCTCCCCTGTGTGAGTTATCTCATGGGAACTGAGGTTACTGCTGTCACTGAAGCTCTTTCCACATTCCATGCATTTGTATGGTTTGTCCCCAGTGTGGGTTCTTTGATGCCTACTGAGGATACTGCTGGAAGTAAAGCTCTTTTCACATTCCATGCATTTATAGGGTTTCTCCCCTGTATGAGTTCTTTGATGTGAACTGAGGCTACTGCTGTCACAGAAGCTCTTTCCACATTCCATGCATTTATATGGTTTTTCTCTAGTGTGAGTTCTTTGATGCCTACTGAAGTTACTGCTGTCACAGAAGCTCTTTCCACATTCCATGCATTTATATGGTTTCTCCCCAGTGTGGATTCTGTGATGTTTACTGAGGGTCCTTCTGGAACTAAAGTTCTTTTCACATTCTATGCATTTATATGATTCCTTCCCAGTCATTCCAAGCATTTATGTGGTTTCTCCTGCGTATAATTAGTTAGATTTTTCATGTGGCTACTCTAGTTTTGTACAAATATGAGGTACATTTGAATGGATTTATTCTGATGAGACTTTCTCCTTTCTTTGTCTTGTTTTTTTATTTCTTTTTGGAAACCCGGGTGGTCACAAACATCAGGAGTCAGAGAATATGGAGATATATTTCCCCCTGTTGTTGGCTGGCTTCCCTTGCCTTTTTCCCCTTTTGGGGTGTATAATCTTTCTTTTCCTGCTTTACTCTTGCTGTTTTTCCACTGACAATATAGGTGGCTCCATGGAATTCTGATTCTCCTGCTTGCTACCTGATGGAGAAGGAGTGTAGGACAGATGTGAATCTCACTGGGATTCAAACCAAGGCATTTGTTTTTTAAAAATTCTGTTTGGTTTGCAAGGTCAGGGGAAAAGTAAGTAAGATCAGAAGGTACAGATCATTTTGTGAAAATCACAAAATAACCATTTTCCTATTCTTTTCTTTTATACAGTGGTGCCTCGCATAGCGATCGCTCCGTATAGCAACGAAATCGCTCTGCGACGGAGTTTTCGCGCTTGCAAAAGCGATTGCTTTGCAATGGTCCCTATGGGTAAATTTTGCTTTGCGATGATCGCAGGGAAGCGATCATCGCAAAGCCCCCATTTTCGGACACCTTGATCGGTAGTTTCAAAATGGCCACCGGGTAAACAAAATGGCCGCCTGCTGTTTTCAGGCACGGATTCCTTGCTTTAGAGGCACCGAAAATGGCAGCACTATGGAGGATCTTTGCTCAGCCGTGAGTTTTAAGCCCATAGTAACGCATTAATGCGTTTCTAGAGAGCCGTTATTTTGCTTAGCGATGTTATCACTTAGCAGCGATTTTTTTCCGGATGAATTAACATCGCTAAGTGAGGCACCACTGTATTACTGATTTTTGTTAAGTTTTAGAACAAAAGGAAATGACAACACAGATACAAAATACTACAAAAATCAACTTTTAAAATAAACAATATCACAATAATCAACCCTGTGCTATCCCCTGCACACTCAGAAAATCATTTTTCATTTTTATTTTTCGTAATATTTCATACCACCCCATTTCTCTCCAGAAATGTAGTGATTCATCTCCAGGTGTATACCCTTTCCACTTTTGAAACACATATATGAAAAATAAATTCCATATTTCATTAAAATCATTACATTCAATTTTTCTTATTCTAATATTAATTTCACAGGTTGTTTTATCATTAATGGCCATGTTTCACATTTCTTTAAACCTTTATTGAATTGGTGATTTTTTCCAGTTCTTTTCAAATATTAGCTTTCCCAAAGCCACCCTAATAATAATTCCTTTTCTTCTCCCTTTAATTAGCTGTTATCAACTGAGGTAATTTTTACTGGATTTACTGTCGTCCCACACTTTTCTACCAGGTGTTACCTTTACTGGATTTACTGTCGTCCCACACTTTACTACCAGATATTACCTCAGAAAATCGAGGACCTCTGATTCCACTAAGAGAATCAGTATATTCAGATGCTTGTAGCACATGTTTAGAATCCTTGTCCTTGACCAGATAATGCAACTCCCCTGGTAAAATTGAATAAAATTGTTCTAGTCCAAACACATTTTTATCTGGTCTAAGAAAGTGACATGTTTTTGTTCCAAACATTTATTAAGATTTAGTAAGATACAGAGTTAAACATGTCCCAAATTGAGCAAATGACTCCTCAGGTTTATTTGAAATTGATCTAAATATTCTCCTTAGATGCTCTGATTTAATCCCAACTCGGGAATATGCCATACTTCTGTAAGCTTCAAAACCTCTAGCTTGTTCCAGAGGCATCTGTGAATAGATTTCAGATAAAACTCCCCTTAAAATTATCATCCTCTCATCATCTTTAACTCCCAAGTCCCAATAAGCTCTCTCATAAGAAATCAGGAAAGATTCAGGACAATCTCCATTCCGATATTGGGGAAATTTCTTTAGATTAATTTTTGAGGGATTTACCTCACTGGAATATTATTTTGGGCAGCTGATTCCAATTTCTTCATCTCGATTTGGAACTGCATTTCTCTTTCTCTTTGCCTTTCAAGTTCTCTTATTTTTTTCAATTCTAATTAATTTTTTAGAGCTCGCTCTTTCAGTTTAAATTCTTGTTCTAGCTTCCATTTCTCAAAATCTTGGGAGCTTTAAATATTTTCTGGCAAACAGAAGGGGAAGATATGGAGGCAGTGACAGATTTTACTTTCTTAGGCTCAATGATCACTGCAGATGGTGACAGCAGCCATGAAATTAAAAGACACCTGCTTTTTGGGAGGAAAGTGATGACAAACTTAGACAGCATCTTAAAAAGCAGAGACATCATCTTGCCGACAACGGTCTGCAGAGTCAAAGCTATGTTTTTTTCCTGTAGCAATGTATGGAAGTGAGAGCTGGACCATAAAGAAGGCTGACTGCCAAGGAATTGATGCTTTTGAATTGTAGTGCTGGAGGAGACTCTTGTGAGCCCCCTGGACTGCAAGGAGAAAAAACCTACCCCTTTTAAAGACCCTGAAGTTGGGAAAGTGTGAAGGCAAGAGAAGGGGACGTCAGAGCACGAGATGGTTGGAC